AGGGCCCCGGTTCAGATCCCACATATGAGGGCCAGTGACACTGCCCTCCACAGCTAAGATACTGAACAACAGTTCAACCTGGAGCTGGGCTGCTGTGAGTCGCCGACGACGGTGTAGGCTGCAAACGACGGCGTAGGCTGCAGCCCCTGCTGCAGTGGGTTGCCATGGGCTACCGTATGTAGCCAGCAACCAGTGTGAGCGGCCAGCAGCCACCGTGAGCAGCCATCCAGAAGCCGGTGACTGATCTGCCTCGCCCGGGAAGAGCGCAATGATGGTGCAACTTGGGCCAGTGAAGCAACGTCCTCCACAACTAGACTGAAGACCAAAACGACAGCAACTTACCTGTTCCCCTTCCCCAATTCCCCAGCGCTGTTCCCATCCCCCCAATTCCCCAATAAAAATCTTAAAAAAAAAAAAAATTTTAAATTAAAAACAGAATTGCCATATGATCTAGCAATTCCACTTCTGGGTATAAAAGAATTGAAAACTGGGTCTGCAAGAGAATATTTGTATACTTACATTCATAGCAGTATTATTCACAACTGCTCAAATGTGGAAGCAACCCAAGTGTCCATGGACAGATGAATGGATAAGCAAAATGCAGTATATACCGGGGTGCCAAAAAATGTATATAAGTGGACACTTTGGTCAGCATTGCTCAAGTAGTAGTTCACTGTAATCAGAAGTGTGTGGATGCTGATGGCAACCACTCTGAGCACCTCTTGTAATTGCAGAAGTCAAACGTGACTTGTATTCATCTTTTGTTACTGGTATATATTATTACAATTTGAATAGTTTTCCCTTCTTAAAATGTGTATACTTTTTTTGGCACCCTCTGTACATACAATGAAATATTATTCAGCCTTAAAATGGTAGAAAACTCTGCAATATGCTACAATGTGGATGAATCTTGAGGACATTATAGTGAGTGAAAGAAACCAATCACAAAGAGACAAATACTGTATGATTTAACTTATACGAGGTACTTAGTCAACATCATAAAGACACAAAGTAGAATGGTGGTTGCCAGGAGCGTGGGGAGGAGAATGGGGAGTTACTGTTTAATGGGAATAGTGTTTCAATTTTACAAGATGAAGAGTTCCGGGGGATGGATGGTAGTGGTGATGGTTGCACAATGTCTATGTACTTAATACCACTGAACTGTACTTAAAATGGTTAAAATGGTAAACTTTATGTTATGTGTATTTTACCTCAATAAAAAAGTGGAAAAAAAGGAAAAGGTGGAAATACTTATATGTATATTTGTTTGTATAGGTATAAAATATCCCTGGATGGATACCTAAGAAATGTGAAACAGCTGGCTTGTACAAGAAGGGAATATGGTTGGCTGGAGAACGTAGAAAGAAGGAGACTATACTATAAACCTTTTTTACTGCTTAAATTTTGAACCATTACTGGTTACTGCCTCAAAAAATAAGTGTACGACAAAAATGTTTGCAGCACTTAGAAAGAAATTAGTAAGTGCTAATGTAACTACTACTAGACATTGGAATTTTTGTTTTTTAAGTTGTTTGAGGGATCTTTCATTTTAGAAACTCTTGGCTACCTAAAAAAGGGACTTAAGTCTGGCAAAACAGGAAAAAAATAGTTACGTCATGCTCAATTTAAGGAAGTGTTTTTTATTGAATAGTGCATTCGAATGCCAACTATTAGTAAATTCTTCCTCTCCTTGCACAAACATAACTAAAATTAATGTTGCCAAAGTGATTTTTAGATTAATGTAGTGACTACTTCCTGAACCCTTTAAAAGATATTTCACCTCTTTATTTTTATTCTGTGGCACAAACAATTTGATCTATCATTTGTATCAATGTACTATTTGGGGCACAAAAGTCTGTAGAACTAAGTTGGTAGCAGAAAATTAAAAAAAAACATGTTTTTACTGTTTGCTCTCAACCTCAAATAGAAAAACTAAACACTGGACAAATTTGAGTTTGAATTAATGATACATATGTGAGATAAAGCTAACAGCCTGTAGCTGGTATTCAGTGTGATTTTCCTTTTTACTCAATTGTTATTTTCTTTGAAGCAAGTTCATGTTAAGAGTTTGGTGAACCAAATGTACTTTCTGGGTAATGGACTTACATAATGGGAAAAATAACAGTAAATGTGCAGGCAGATAATATATACAGACTAGGGAAACCTAGAAATCCCTTTCAAAAACTGGCACATTAGAAAACTCCATGATTAAATAATTCCACTTTAGTGAAAAGGAAAACTTTTTACGTCCATATGCCTTCACTTTCCCATCATTACCAGGAAATCCTGAAACGAAAGCCCTGAGTCACGAGATCTCAGGGGATATTTCCTTCTGAACACACCCTACTGGAAACGTTTCTCCCTTCCCTCCAACTTCTCCAGAAACAAGCACGGAGCACCGCCCCCCCACCCCACCCCCCTTCCAGAAAGTCAAGGCTTCGCCCACTCAACAAACACCCCCCCACCCTTTCCAAATCCCGGACGTTGCGATTGTGCCACCAAGGAAGGTGATTAGTAAGCACAGCCCCCAGGAACGCGGAGCGCCCACGCACCGTGGCCGGCGGGCCCGTTCTGCTCCTGGTCTCTGAGGAGCTCATCCAACAGGAACAAAAAGGGTCGGAAGGAGCAGGAGTCCGAGAGCTGAGGCGGGGCTGACGGCGGCGGCCCGGCCTCAGGCTCCGTCCCCAGCCCCGTCCCCCACCCGCCACCGCCGGCGCGGGCGGGACCACGACGCCCACAGGGTCGCGCGCGGGCAGGTAGAGCGCGCCGCTCCCGCCAACTTTCACCCCGGGCCCCGCAGGGCGCACGGAGCGGCGCGGAACCCACCGAGGAGAGGGCGTCGCCGCCGCCGCCTCCCGAAAACCGTTGAAACCGACACGCTCTCCGCTTGGTGACCAGGGTCCCCACGCCTCGGCTCCTGGTCCCCGCGCCGGGACGCAGCCTGAGCGTCCCTCTCCCTCTCCAGGGTTGCTTACCTAGACCGCAGAAAACAGCTCGCTGCCCCCGCCGCCTCCGGTCACTGGTACGGACTTCCGAGACCCGAAGGGAGAAAAGCGGCGCGCACCCCAAGACCGCCCTCGAGTCGCGTCATGGCGCCGCCCCCGCCTTGCACCCGCGCAGGCGCGCGACAGCCTGTCAGGTGACCCGTCCCCATGGTAACAGGGCCGCGGTGTGGTAGCGGTGCCGGGCCGGGCGCGGGACTCGGGAATGCGGAGCCGCCCACGCTGCTACCGGTGGTGAGCGTCACCCTCTCCACCTGCCCCCCCCCGCCCCCCGCCAGTGGTTCCTGCCCAAGGGCCCGGTGCCACCTGCTCGCGGCTGTGTTCGTGGCGCTCGGTCACGTGGTTCCCATCCCCTCCAATACCAAGAGGGTCCAGAGAACCTGTCTTTTGGAGATTTCCTCCTCCAGCCTTGGACTTCCAGCACTGTGGTCACTAACTTCTCCACCCACAGGCTCAGAAATATCCTCCCAGTAACCTTTCTCAGCTCCTGCCCTCTTTGTGTTACAACTTATTTCTTCGACTTTTACTACTCTTTGTTCATTTGAACTAAAGTTCATTGGCTGTTGAAGGTTATGTGTAGTCCTGCGCAAAATCTCTGCATCCTAATACAAAAACTAAAAAACTATGTTTCTTGAGGACTAACTATGTTCCAGGCACTGTCCTAAGAACTTGATGTCTTATTTGGTTCTTACGTCATCTATAAAATAGATAACAACAGCTGCATTAGCATACAAAGAAACTGAGGCACAGTTTACCTAAGTTACCTAAGTTTAACGTAGTTACCATGGAGTAACATAGAATACAAAATAGCATTAACTTAGAAGCACTTTATTTCTAGCTGTTATTTAGTGCCACAATAAACTGTGGTAAAACTAATAAAAATCTGAGCAGAAAAGAGATGACAAATAAATAAGATGAAAACTTTGCCCTCAGAAAGTTTATGGTCTAGCTGATAAAATAGACATTTAAAAATAATTACACTCTAGTTTGGGAAGGAAGAAACAAAACCGTTTTTCTTCACAGGTGGCTTGATTATGTACACAATCCCAAAGAATTGACCCCCCAAAACAAAACAAAACAAAAAAAACAAACCTAAAACTAATATACAAGTATAGCAAGTTTGCATGGTACAAATTTAATATACATAAATCTATTATTCCTTTTTGTATACTAGCAGTGAATGATTAGAATTTGAAATTAAATAAACAATATCATTTATATTAACACAAAAAAGTGAAATACTTAGGTATAAATCTAACAAAATGTGTATAAGATCTATATAAGTAAAACTATAAAATTCTGATGAAAGAAATAAAAAAGGATCCAAGTAAATGGAAATATATGCCATGTTCATGGATAGGAAGATTCAATATTGGCAATAAGTCAATTCTTCTCAATTTGATAGATTTGACACAGCCTCAGTAAAAATCCTAGTAAGTTAATTTTTTTATCAACAAAAGTCCCAGTGGAGCCAACACAATATCAAAGAAGAGAACCAAGTCACACGCCGAATGGTGCCCTGCATCATTAAGCTATGGTAATCAAGACAGTGTGGTATTGGCAAAAGATTGGACAGACAAATAGATGAATAAAACAGAATATAGAGTCAAGAAATACAATACAGAGCCCAGAAATAGACTCACACAAATACACCCAATGGATCTTTGACAAAGGAGCAAAGATGGACAATATAGTCTTTGCAACAAATGTTGCTGGAACACCTGGGATTCCACAAAAAAAAAAAAAAACCAATCTGTGGGAATAACTAAATTTATAGTCCAGTTGAACAGAAGTGCAGATACATGAGGACCCAATTTGAGGATACTGCCTAAAGTGGAAGCTGTGTTGTTAGACATCTTGTCTATAACTTGTGGATCTGACTCTAACTCTGGGTTGTTAGTACTAGAATTGAATTGAATTGTAGAACACCCAGTTGGTGGCAAAGAATTTGGTCAAGAGCTCGCTTGGGAGCACCAGCTCTGAGCAGCAGGGCCGTGGTTCGGATCCCACATTAAGGGCCAGTGATGCTGCACCCTCTACAGCTAAGATGGTGAACAACAGCTCGACCTGGAACTGGGCTGCTGTGAGTCACCGGCGACAGCGTAGGCTGCAGCCAGGATTCAGTGGGCTGCCATGAGCTACATGAGTGGCTGGCAGCCAGCGTGAGCGGCTGGTAGCCGGCGAGAGCTGCTGTGAGCTGCAGTGAGTGGCCGATGAATGACCAGTGACCAATTGCCTCACCCGGGAAGAGCACAATGATCATACCAACATGGGCCAGTGAAGCGACGTCCTCCACAACTGGACTGAAGAACAAAAGGACAGCAACTTGTCTGTTCCCCTTCCCCAATTCCCCAACGCTGTTCCCCTCCCCCAATTCCCTAATAAAACCTTTAAAAACAAAAAACAAAAAAAACAATGTATCAATATTGGTTCATTGATTGCAACAAATGTATAACACTAATTCAAGATGTTAAGAATAGGGTAAACTGTGTTTGGGGAGATGGAAGTACAAGAGAACCCACTGTATTATTTTTTCAATTTTTCCATAAACCTAAAATTTTTCTTAAAAAATAAAGCCTATTAATTACAAATATAATTACACAAATAGAGTTGTGATGAGTATTTGAATAGAAAGTTCAGGGGACTATGGAAAGATATCACAAGGGAACTGAAATTAGTCTAGGAGTTCAAGGAAGACATCCTTGAAGACATGCTTTTAAGCTGAAGAGTAAGAATTAGCCAAGTGACAAAGGGAGCAAAACTTCAGGCAAATAGAATAGCAAACACAAAAGCACTGTGGTTGAGTTGAAACTTGATGCATTTCAGGAGCTGAAAGGCCATTTTGGCCAGAACACAATAGTAAGAGGAAGAATGGCTTAAGACAAAGCTAGAGAAGTAGGCAGGGCTCTACAGAAGTTACTGAAAAGAGTAACATGATTAGATTTCCATTTAAAATGTTTACCCTGGTTACTGCTTGGAGGATGGATTGAATGTGTGGATAAGACTAAGATGTGCAGAAACATACTAGGAGACCGCTACAGTGAAAATGGAGAAAATCAGAGAAATCCAAACGACATTAGGATAAAGAATCAGGAAGGTTTAGTGGTTGGTGTGATGTGGATTAAAGTACCTAAGATAACTACCAGGTGTCTGGCATGAGCAGATAGGTGGACGTTGGCACACTTGTTAAGGTGGGGTACACTAAGATGTGCAGATGTAGGAGATGGGAATATTAGAAGATTGGTTTTGGATTTGTTAAATTTGAAGTGCCGTGTGAGTTACCAGATGTAGTAGGCTGAATAATGGCCCTGCAAAGATGCCCATGTCCTAATCCCCAAAACCTGTAAATATGCCACCTTACATGATAAAGTGGACTGTCTAGATGTGATTAGGCTAAGGATTTTGAGATGGGACGGTTGCTCTGAATTATACAGTTGGGCATGATATAATCACAAGGGTCCACAAGAGACAATGGGGGTGGGGGGGAGTAGGTACTGGAAGATCCAAGTTAGTAACAGAAGATGTAAGGAAGAAAGCAGAGATTGAAATTATGTGGCCATGAGCCGAAGGATGCCTGCAGCCTCTAGAAGTTGGAAAAGATGAGGAAGAGATTCTCCCTTGGAGGCTCCAAAAGGAACCAGCCCTGTGTCATCATCTTGATCTGCAGAATCAACCTATGGCTTCAGCAAACTGTAAACCCACATCCTAGTGAATGAAGGGAGTGTGAGTGGAAATCTATACACTGAATACCCCTGATCCCTTTTCTCTATCTGTCCATTGACTTCCAGGATGCTCACAGTCAGGCTTGTAGTGATCCCCTGCCCCTGAACAGGCAGTAGATTGAAAGATACCTCTCTAGAGAAACTCAAGAGAAAAGATCTGAAGATTCTGACAGTTGACCTAATCACCCTACAACAAAGCCCCCTTAGTAGCATGCACATCTTTATTTTGTTGTTGTTATTTTTTGTTTTTCAATTACAGTTGACATTCAATATTATTTTATATTAGTTTCAGGTGTACAGCACAGTGGTTAGACATTTATAACATTCTTCTTTTTTTTTTTTAGCTGAGCCATCTTGCCACCTGTTGGCAGCTCAGTGGCAGCTCAGCTCAAGCCGGAAATCGAACCAGTGACCCTGTTGCTCAGAGCTCACACTCTTGAGCGAGCTCTTAACCAACTGTGCCACTCGGCTGGCCCTTCGTTAGGCATTTATATAGTTATGAAGTGATCCCCCTAATGAGTCTAGTACCCACCTGGCAGCATACATAGTTATTACAATATTATCGACTATTTCTTATTTTGTATTTTATATCCCCATGACTATTTTGTAACTACTGATTTGTACTTCTTAATCACTTCACCTTTTTCATCCAGCCCCTCAACTCCCCACCCATCTGGCAACCATCAGTTTGTTCTCTATATCTATGAATCTGTTTTTGTTTTGTTTGTTTATTTTGTTCTTTTAGATTCCACATGTAAGTTAAATCATATGGTATTTATTTTTCTCTGACTTATTTTACTTAGCATTTAGTTCTTTTTCTGGAGTTTTTCCTGTTCTTTCATTTGGGACATGTTTCTTTGTCTTCTCATTTTGGCTGCCTCTCTGTGTATGCTTCTATGTATTAGATAGACCTGCTACATCTCCCAGTCTTGGTAAGGTGGCATTATACACTAGGTGACCTATGGGACCCAGTGGCACAGTCTCCCTGAGCCGGGTGCTCCAAGTGTGTCCCTTGTTTGGGTTGTGTATGCCCTCCTGTTGTAGTTGGGCTTTGGTTGCTGTTGGCACGTCAGTGGGTGGGGATGACCCTCAAGCTGACAGGCTGGCCATGAGGATTGGCCATATCCACAGCACACGAGCTGCTGTGTGGAACAGCTGACCCCATGGAATGGGATTCACCCCAGCAGGCTCTGGTGCCTGCCTAGACCACCCTTCAAGCGTGCTGCTTGTGGAGCTCGTCGGGCGTGCTGTGGTCTGAAGCTCACCACCGGATGTGTTGGTTCTGGGGCCTCTTGGGAGGGGTTTCTATGCAAGCCAAAGTCCACCACTGCCTGTGACCAGGCCAGGGCAGCTGGTAGGAGCTACAAAGTGA